AAAAGGGAAGGCCATGGAGGTCCAGCCAAGAAGTGATCATTCCAAGTGGGAATGCCAGCGTTGTGGTAGACGAGGGGTGGTAATAAAAACCTCAGTACCATGCGTACCAGTATAAAATATGTTAGTCAAAAACTGGATTGGTCCGGATCTCCATCTAACCTGGCAGCTTTTCCAGTTGTGTTAACCTGCTTCGTTTGGTGGCCAGCCTCTCAGTACTCATGAAGGTCTTTTTTGTCTCCTGAAGAGATTCCCAACTCAGTGGTTATCACGACGGAGAAGCCCCTGGAAAGAGCTTCATCCGTTTCGAGAAGTCCTTGATTTGTGTTGAAAATCACTACCTTGTTCCAGGCGTTGCTGCTATTTGACCATTGATAAAGTACCTTATCGACCAGCAGAAAAATCACATAGCAAAATTAGAAAAAAAGTCAAAATTTAAGATTAAGCCTGAAATTTAGGCGCTTTTTAGGTCTGAACAGGTTACGATCGGGAACAGCTCCTGAAGCATCCGGCAAAAATTCGTCAATTCCCAACTATAACAACAGCAATTACGGCAAGAAAAGGGGTTTAACCGGTAGCGAAACGGCGGATATTGCCACTTCACGAACTGCCAGGAGACCAGTGCAAGATTATGTGACAGTGAGTGCAGCTGCCGTACAAACAACACCAACCATCGAGAAAGGTGGCCACTGGCTTTCGGTTCATCGTGAAAAAGCTGTAGATGAAAGGTTGGATTTTAGCAAAAAACCTATAGTTGAATTTCTAGAAAAAAAGTTTTATGGATTTTAATTGTGATTTTTTAGATCGGAAACAGCATTGAGCGAAACGAGTACGACACCGGAATGGGCCAATGGAACAACCGTAACCAATGGTAATATATATATATATTTGTTTGATATTAGTGTTGTCTCTTTCTCTTTACTGCTATCTCCAGTTCTTGCCTCGAGCTTCTGACTATGTTCTCGATCCCTTTCTTTATCCTGTTCCCAAATCCTGCCTGCAGAGCGGCATCTGAGTACTATACCGTGATATTTATTAGGTTTAAACAGCATTATTAACGTTATTCTATGAATAAACATTAAGTGCTTAGTGAATTTGAGCTGCATAAGTATTGAGGCTTAAAAGTTACCTGGAATGTTGGATTACGGTGTTTAGTGAATTTTAACTGCATAATTATAAAAGGGTAAGTAAATTAGGCTTATTAAAAACTAAAACTTCTAGTATATATGAAAAATTAATAATTTAGCCGATATTATGGCATAAATTTTGTGTTTTGCACAACTCTTCTCATCTGTTGCAAAAATGCAGTTTGGGAAAGGAAAGCTGAAAATCATTACTCCTGACGAATGTACCCATCAACATCTGTTTTCACATCGATAAACCGGATGGCCTCGGGTTTTACGGGGCCTTCTTGGGGCTATTGGTTGACGCATTCAAGGCTTTCTTGAGGTTGCAATCATAACTTTTCTGCCCAGTTTCGTGATCTTTTGTTTGTTCAGGTTTAATTAGCGTTTTGACAACCACTCCACTGATATGAGTGATTCTTGGAAGAGCTATTTTTCCTTTGATTAGCGTCTGTCGAGAAGCTTAACCCAACAATAACAAACCTCTTGCGGGATGCCAGACTCGAATTCTTGGTCGAGTTTTGAGAATAAGTGTCTCCGCGAAATAGAACTGTGCAAGACCTGCTGCGGACAGCCGACCCGTCCGTACGAAAGGGAATCGAATGAAGAGGG